TGGCCCTCTTTCATACAAGCTTCGAGGGCCTCTACTGCATCAACAAGATCTTTAATGGTCTCGAACTTAAATGCAATCAACCCTTGTCTCAACTCTTGCCGCAATCCATCCCTCAACCTTTACACCTTATGTTGCTCACTAAGGACATAATATGAGGCAAAAATAGAGAGGTCATGAAACCTCCTTTCATAATCAAGTATAGATATGTCTCCTTGCCTCAAGGATAGAAAATCTTATTCCTTAATTTTCTGATTATAAGAGGAGTAAAATTGATGTTCAATATGCATCTTAAACTCAGCCCAAATCTAGAATCATGCGGGTCTCCTTGATCTCACTGTATCCCACCAAGATTGTGCCTTATCAGAAAGCAAATGAGCAGCATATTTCACTCACAAACCCTTTGTTACCCGTATTTAATCCAAAGTATCCTCAATTATATGAAGCCATCTTCCTATTATTTTGGCATCTGGTTCTCCTAAGAAGAGCTCACACCCAAGTTCTCTCATGCTTTTTTACAATCCGCACTAATATGACTATATTTTTAGCTTTTGTCATAGTCCCTAGAGTTGTTTGTATTGCTGGAGCTATTAGGATTGTCGGGGACGAGGTACTAGGCATTGCCTCAATCACTGCTCTCATTATCTGAGCTATAAACAAAGGGCCAACATGAAGTGTAGGAATTGTTGCAAGTACTGGAACCATAACTGGGGATATAGTTAATAGCACAACTTCCTGTCTTTGCTGGTCTGAACCCTTGAGTTGTAACCCTTTAGTCTATCTCAAGTCAGTGTCATGAATGAGTCCAGTTGACTCTCCTAGTCTTGACTGTTAAGGCTCTAGGGGCATATGAGAGGCAGTATCCTCCAATGGATCCTTTCATTATCTTCCTCAAACCCTTCTTTAGTCATTGTACCCTTTCTTGTGCTAACCGTCTTGGTACAAGTAAAAAATTATTAAATCTCCTTTTTTTTCCACTCTTAAACCCAAACCAGAGCTTTGATACCAACTATAATAGCCTCAAACTTATATATATTCGTTGTTACCAATTTTATCTTTCTATATATATTATATTTCCTTGAAATTTCAGCAAAGTTTCCTTTGTATTCTTTAGATTCCAAGTTATCGACTCAATCATTTTTCAACCTGTAATATCAATCACAATATTCATCCCATTATTTGGACTTTCAAAACTCAAGCATATTTTAATATCTCATTTCTATTTTCTATACAATACTATGATAAAAGCTAATAAATTCATAACATGCATCATCTCTTTCTTCTTCTTTTTTTTAAGTATTTGTGCTCAAAATATATATACAACTAACCATAATTCCAACTTAATACTAATAACATTATAAACTACATCATACACAAGATAATAAGTTAAACATTACAATTTTTTAGATATGGAAGTATATTATAATAAAATATTAGTTCTTCCAATTACATTAATCACATAAAAAAATTATTTATCCAAGCATCTACTTTTTAGATCAAAGGTGCGATGGACCTAAAAACATAATCGCATTAAAGATTGATTAGTACTTAAAAGTGCATTTTTATCATGGTTTTATATCATCATTTTGCACTTGAAGTATCAATAACTCCTTAATTAAAGCATGTTTTATAATAATATATCTAATAATATAAGATACCTTTAATTTGTGGTAAATGTTCATTTTAAATGCAGGCCTATCACATAAATGAAAGGATTAATTGATGACTTTAAGAACTTAAATTGCAAGGGCAAAGAGATGACCAAACATAGAAAAGAGATATCAATGTAATCCAAACCGAAATACTGTTAGGTAATTAGGTCATATCTGGAGCTACAGATCTCAGATTTAGGTCCAATTTATATGGATGGAAAGGTAAGACATAGGCCTACAACTTTCATATGGAGCCCAAGATCTAAAAAGGCCATTATCAAGTCCAAATTGTAGCAACAACAAAGAAGCCCGAATCTGTCTTCCAGCCCGAGCACTGTTCGGTATTTTGGCCATATCTGGAGTTCTAGAAGTCCAAATGAGCTGAATTGTTTACACAAGAAAGCTGAGACAATTGCCTACAACTTTCATGTTTGCAACTGGCTCCAATTTTGACGTTATCAATGACGTTTTGGGCAGACAAGAGAAGATAAAGATTGTCACCAAGTCAAAAGTTGGCCACCCACTTATCAATTAGTCATCAAATCAATAGTTCCCATTTTTGGCCTATAAAAGGAGGCATTTGCCATGCATTTAGGCATCTTGGTGTTCAGATCAAGATCATGCTCTTCCTTTCTCTCTTTGTATTTTTTATGCTTTGTTTTCATTAATATTAAGTTTATGCCTTTCATTTCCTTTCCTTTACTTAGTTAACTTTTATGTTCTTATTTTGTTTATCTATTTTGCTTTCTTTCATTATGTCTAGCTAAGTTAATTATGTCAAGGTGAAAAGGTTACACTAATGGTGTAAGAATAAGTATAATGTAAACTTAATATGGACTTTAATGTTTGATACTAACATGTTTTATATTTGTTATCTTGTTCACTCTTTAATACTTTGCTTGTTAAATAACTAATCTTGATTTATGTTGTATAACACTTGGTACAACAAATGCTTGGCACTTTCATAGCCCATAATGTATGGTATAACCGACACCTGAGCTATGAAAGGAACTTGATTTATTGTTAACATAAGTTATAATCATGAATGCTTGACGAGATTTACAAGTTAAAAAAATTACACAATTTAATAATTAATTAATTAAGGACTAACTATTCATATATATTAAAGTGACTTTTGTATCATTGAATAAATAGTCTTATTTTCTTTTTGAAATTTCTAATTTTATAAATACTCTTCTACAGATAGGGATAAATGTATTAAAATAAAAATATCAAGAGTGTCTCCCACAACTAGCATATTTAATTTTAAAGTTTTACAATTAGTTTATTTTACATCGAGTGATTAACCCATTAATTTATAAATTAATTTTTTTAACATGGCCATTCAACCATGCATAAATTCCAGTAAGCAGGAAATAATCTTCAAGGTTTGTCCATTCACGAGGGCATTATTTCTAGTAACTAGAAAATAATATTCAAGACTTGTCAATTCACTAGGGTATTATTTATAGTAACCAGGAAATAATGTTTTGGCTTGCCCATTTACCAGGGCATTATTTTCGATAGGGAAATAATGTTGCAAGGCTTGCCTATTTACCAGGGCATTATTTTCAGTAACCAACACTAGAATTTACAATCTGTAAAATTCCTTCTACAAATAAAAATATATAAACTAATTAATTAATTTAAAGTGTTGAACACTTACTTGGTGTCTGTGTGCGTGAGGAGGTCCTTTGTTACTAATTAGGTCTTATGGCTTCCTTTGTATCAACAAAAATTACTTTGTCATTGTTCATTCATTCAAATCGGTAAAATTCTAATACCCATTATTTATTCTTGGATTAAATCCAACACCCTTAATTAAGCTTAATTGACATATAATTCAAGGAAGAAAAACCCCTTCTTTTTGAAACATTTACTTATTTTTCTCACAAAAGTCCCTATTAAATTTAACCTATCAACATCAATTGTCTTCAATTTGGCAAAATTTCTTAATAATATTATTAGAAATTCATTCTTTGATTTTCTTCTCCATTTAGCCAAAAATAATCTAGGGAAGGAATTGAAGATTTTTCTTTTCTCCTTGAAAAATTCTTACTCCATTCATATAGTAATACTTATAAACCTTTATCTTCCTATATTTTCCAAATAATTATATTAAACCTCAAATCCCTTTAATTATTCCTATTTTGGTCAAATATTCAATTAAAGTGGGGAAAAATGATTTTTGTTTCTTTTATTTAAAATAAAACACTTACCCAATCATGATTCATTCTATCTAACATGGTTCAAACATAATTAGCATTATTCCTACAAATTATAACATAATTCCACAACTTCATATAATCATAATTTTGCATAATTCTTCATCAAACATAAAATTAAAGGAATCGATCATTTGGAGCATGTTATTTATATCATTTTGATAAAGATTTAAGAAAAGAATGCAAGAAAACTCAATTTTTCTTCTTCTTCCTCTTCAAACCCTAGCTTGAAATCCTTCCTCCAATGCACTCACCATCTTAAATTGACCCCCCTTTTGATATTTAATTAAGTTAATCACTCTAATTACTTAATTTAATTAGTGTAATTAATGAGAATTTAAGTAGAAAAATCACACAATTCTTCCTCCTCTTTGTTTCAAGCTCAGAGCCAAAAGAGAAAAAAATAAAGCATTTATAATCTAACTTTTACCTATTTACATATTGACCCTCATTTTTTCTCATTTTTATTTTTGTCACTCAACTCTTTTTTTTACTTAATTCACACCATAACATTTCATATTTTATTCTATACTTGAAATTTTTTTATTTAATATATTTGATATTTTATTTATTTTATTCAAATTACAATTTGATGGTTTTTTACATGTGTGTTAAGAAATGTAAGTGATACAGTTCCAACATGAATATTATCTTTTCCTTCTAATTAACTTCTTATTATTTAATTATTGCTTGAACTATTAACTCAGTTCCTCAATAATATTCTCTTTAACATTTATCTTCAAAAAATTTAACCTTGTACCAAATATAATTTTAATTATTTTATAATTGCCACTTCCATTATTTATGCCCTCAAGTGTAATTATTAAATTTGACTTGATGAGTAGAAAAACCATGCTAGGTTTAATTTGAAATAGATTTTAAATTGAACAAAAAAAATAACATTGATAAATGAGATTGGCATATTTAATTTTGTTAATGACTTAAATGACCCGATTAAATTCAAACTAAACACAGCCGGGTTAATAATAATAATATTTATATTTTTTAAAAATAAATAATATTATTTTTATAGAAATAATTAATTACAGACCAATCGATGGACTCCATTATCCAGTAACATCAAGGAGTCCATGTATTATTGGAAGGCATTATAACCAGTTATGTCCCATCCTTTAAACTGATCACAAGGCCCACTTTCGAGACCTTCCTCGTTCCCTTGGCGTATATACGTCCCTCCACCATAGCTCTAGCCTCACAACAATGGCAAAGTCTGTATCGTCCATAGCCCCACCTACCTTCTGATAAGCTAGCTAGCTAGTCCAGCAATCAAAATGAATGGTTATTCCAAGATCAAAATCTTTGGCACTGCCAGATCAAGATCCATGGACTTTTCAGATCTTTCATTAGCATTTCCTGAGCCCACAAAATCCAACACAGAGCCCCAAGAAACCCACAAGATCGTATGCGACCACGACAATACCAAGAAGAACATGATTAGCACAGGCACCACCACCCAAGACTCACTCTCAGTGCTCGAAGAAGATGAGGAAACCAATGTTGGAGAGGGGTTCGGGGTGAAGCTGAGGAGCTCTTCCGTTTCTTCATCAGCTTCTGCACTTCAGTCTGCAGTGAAGAAAGCATTCGCCGCGAGAAGATCCTGTTCGGTGTCAGAGAGGTATTGCAGGATCCATGACCAGTCTGCAACACTATCATCACCCATCCACGATGAAGATGGTACTTTGGACACGATGGAGTCAACAAGATCTGTGACGAAAAAACATAGCAGAGGCAGGTTCCTGAAGGTCTGTAAGAAACTTTTTGGACTTTAGTGCACTTCTGCCATTTGTTTAATCCCAGTTACTTGGCTCATCATATCATTATTCACTCTGCTTCTGCCTTATGCTAATCAAGTTTTAAACACCTATTAATTTATTATTTATTATTAAATGGTTTATAGAGTTTAAATTCATGTCTTTGATTTCTGGTTACAAATAATGTTTTATTTATTATTACTAATATCAATTAAAGAATCACTTGTATTCATATCCATGATAGATTCTGAAAGAAAATTTATAAAAATTACTTTTCTCATCTTGAATTACTAATTATGAAACGCTATATTAAAGCTCTCTGTATATAGTCTACGGAACTTAAGTTCATTCAAAAAACTGATACTAATATTGAAATCATCTTCAAGAAGGCTATACATATAGTGAATGTTGAGAAGAAAGGTTGGGGAAAAAAAAATCTAATAGAAAAATATCAAAAAAAGACTTTCTCTAGTTCACACCCTCTCAAAAAGACACGTAACAAAACCTAGACCTCATCTTTACACCAGTATCTCTCCATCCAACCCAGCAGTCAGTCAAAATAAAAAAAAAATCTCAACTACCATTAGCCAACTTTCTTTGGATCCTCACGACAATCCTTCTTCTCCAACATGAGCAGCTCTTGACAAAACCAAGCTCAACAACCTTTTCTCCTGTTGATTCTAACTGTGATAACACCTTCTTCATCGAACCGACACAACCCCTCTCCCTTCAACTATCGTCGACCACTCCACCGCATCTCAACAACAGCATGCCATTTCTCTTCCAACGTACAAGTGCATTTGGTCTCCATTAAAGCCGTGCGCAGTAGCAGTAGTAATCCAAGATCCAAAAGCCTTGCATCTTGTTTTTTCTAACGAAGAGCAACAAAGAAGCGCAACTAACAGCAACAAAATGTTTCCCTTTCAGCACCCAAGGGTCCTCAATTAAAGTCATGAGCAGCAGCAACAATCCAAGATATAATAGCCTTGCGTCTCATTTTCTAATCAGGACTAGCAAGCTAACAGAACTAGGCCAAGAGCAACAAATGAGTACAACTAACACGAGTAACACATCTCTTTTCCAACAACGTTTTTAGTCTCCATTGAACACCTCCTACATAGATAAGCTGAACTGATTGTCTCGGCCTCCATGATTCCAAAACAGTAGCTTTCATTTGCAACAGAGAGAGAGAGAGAGAGTGAAGTAGACCTGAAAATAAAAAGAAGAAGAAAAGAGCTTCCAAGTGACTGGATCTCCCTTCTTGAAGAGCTCGAAGGGGTATCGTTGATGTAAGAGAAAGAGGAGACTAAGGAGCATCAAATCCACCAACCTGATCTCTACCAGCAATGGTGACGCATCAATCCACGCCTCGATAGAGATGGTGGCGCGTGGTACATCTTCCGAGGTTCTCCAGCATCGATTCTAATAGAACCCAGACACGCCAAGCATCTCGAAAGGTTGATTCATAACCTCAAAACATTTGTTTGGACAAATTGCTAAAATATCATGAAATTTAAAACAAAATCGTTTATTATTTGATATAATATTTGGATTGTTTATAAACTATATAGATTTAGTTTTCTAGGGTTGTAATTGTCTTGTGGACGCTAAATATGAGCGCACAAGTTACGTTTGGTTCTATTTGATTTATTTAGACTAGCATGAAATTTGAGCCGAATAGGTGACATTAATAATATTTGTATGAATGTTTAGTATTGTTTGGTTTTAAGTTGATTTAAAATAATTTATTATGAATTGCTATTATGGTTTAAATAGCTTTAATAAAAACATTTTATTTCTGTTTTATCGAACATAGTTCGTCTATTATTAATAAATTTTTAATTGTTGGAAGATCATTTTGTAATAAGTTTTGAATTCCCTACTTTTTTTCTACCATTACATATTTAATATTTGAAATTGTCACTGACACGACTAAAAGATTGATGTCTTCTCCGAAGTGCAGGAGTGTCGAAGTAATAAATAACCCGGCAAGAACGGGGTCGAACCACAGGGAGGTTAATTGTACAAATTATAAACAACAATTATAAAACAACAATAACAACAATA